TGCATAATCCCATAGTCAGAGGAATATGTATAAGTCATGAAGAAAGCAATAGCAATAAAACTTAACGATCATTATGCTAAGCTAATGGATGGGTCTTGTCCATCACATCATTCTCCTAATGATGTGATCCCGTTCATCAAATGACAACACATATCTATGGTCAGGAAACTTAACCATCTTTGGTTAACGAGCTAGCCAAGTAGAGGCATACTAGGGACTCTTTGTTTTGTCTATGTATCCACACATGTATCAAGTTTCCGGTTAATAAAATTCTAGCATGAATAATAAACATTTATCATGATATAAGGAAATATAAATAACAACTTTATTATTGCCTCTAGGTCATATTTCCTTCACTGCCATCCCGCCGGTGTTGCCTCCTTGATGCGTATGTCTATGAAGTTTGCCCGAGCTTCCCGAGATGAGACTCCCAGACTGGTTTGCCAAAGCATGATCAGTCCTCCACTTCTTCCATCACTTTCCCACACTTCCATCTCATCAAACCCTCCTCCTCAGTTTTACTGCCTTAGCCATGTCCAGATGTGTTTCGGACAAGAACAACACATCCGATTTTATTCGCTCTTGGATACCGCAAGAGTTCCCGAACTGTCATAGGTTTACGCATCCCACGGCAGCTCCACACGAGGATTTTCATTGCGACCGGTCAAGCCCCTTCTCGGAGCTCGCCGATAAATTGTGGTTGGCATCCATCACAGCCGAGTTGTCCTTCCTTGATCTCTTTGAATCATGCGATGAAGTGTCACCATCCTCACCTTCCTTCTCTGTGATCAAGTCCATCTGCGAGTGAACCAGCACTGCAGTCGACATAGTGACCGGGGGCTTCTGTGATTGGGCTGACAGCCCCGCTTCGGTAGCTGCTGGGTCCGTGCTCTTCTCCTCAAAGTAAAGCCTTTTTCGCCCAGAGAATTTATCTCCTACCGCCCCCTAATAGGTTTCATAGGGCTAGTGTTGGTGTCATTCAGATCATCATCATCCGAGCCATTGTTTCTTCCCCGGCCACCTGTGGTAGCCCTGTCCTTCTGCCTACCTGAGCTTTGACCTATTTGCCTCCTTTCTTCTGGCCGAGTTTCAAGTATGAACTCATCCCACTCCATGGTCTGTGGGTCATGCTTTCCATTACCATGTTCTGGGTATGTATTGCACACACATAGCAGAACACGGGCATCTTCTAGTATAGAACCGAGTAATACACCTTCTATTTATCCTTTGTGGTAGAGACATATCTCATTAGTGGCTCATGGATGTCAAACTTAACTCTGACCCTCACAATCCTTCCATCACCCCACCTGGGGTTTAGCATTACCTTCTCCACAATCCCAACTTTCTTTGCCAATGATCGAACCACGTGTTCCTTCCTGAAGAGTGGAGGAAGATCAACAATCTGGATCCAGAATGCAAGTTTATCCAGCACCACTTCGTTGTAACTGGTGTGTCCATCATACTTCTCAGTTAGCACTCCATGATCACGAAACAGCCAAGGACCCTCTTCCGTGAGCCTCTTCCAATCCCCCGGGCAGTTTATTGTCAGGGTGAATAGGTTTTCGCCCAACGGTTTGAAGGTTACTCCCTACGCTAGGTTCCATGCAAGTCTCATCGTATCATAGAATGAACCCCTACTGAAAGGCTTGTTCGTATGCACCGTCGCCAGTGCCATGAACTCCGCTTCCTCGATCTCATCCGGGAACTCCTCTTGAAAGATCAGACCGTCCTCATCCCGCTCCTACAGATTGAGTTTCCTGATCATCTCTTCAACCCCGATTGGCTTTCCCCTCGGGGGCTGCGCTTCCCACTGACGATTGCTATCCCGATCCCGCCATGGCCAAAACCTAGCAAGCTACGTATTCCAGCCGCCAAAACCCTAGCAACCCGCAACAGGAACCAAGGCCGGGTAGATAGCTGGGCTATCCCCTTGATCAGCCCTAGAACCTAGTCGGGGAGGAGTAGGATTGGTGGTAGAGTCCGGAACAGCCTCACGATGTCGCCATCGGAGGTATCTAAAACCCTAGACGGGAGCTTCCAGGGGAGTTCCGAGCTAAGTACCCCTTAAAAAGGGAAATGATAACTAGTTGATGCCCCTAGGAACCCACTCCAAGGGAATGACCTCGCAACCATTTGATTGAGATCATGCGCATGACAATTTTACAGAAAATTACACTGCATTCGCTGACAACTTTTTCCTACACATGGCATTTTCCTCTTACGTACATGGCAAGTCCATCATAATTGCATGATTTTTTTTTGTTGATTTGGCAAGACAACTATGGTGTCCACTGAAAAATCCTACACAGAGAACGTGACCAGTATAAATGGGCATATGTCGGGCTGGGCCAAAAAAGGCCTGGTCCTAAGAACCTAGGCCCGAGCCCGGCCCAGATAGACCGTCGGGCCTGAGCCCAACCCGATCCCAAAAAAACCCAACATGGCTTGGTTGGCCCGGCCCGACTACGGCTGAAATCAGTTTTTACGCAAGCCCGAGCCATGCCTGATATGCCCGCCGGATTCAATTAACAGGCCCGAGCCCGACCTGATGACACGCACAGTCCCGGTCGGGCCAGGCCGGGCTGCCCATGGCTAGGTATATTGCCATTCGTGCCGCCGTCGCCGCCGCCATATGAGAAAATTTAGATCCCCTTACCTTCAGCTGCCATCTTGGAGCTGAGAGGTGGGGTGACCTCGGATCTTCAAGACCTCTATTTCTTCGTCAACATCCAATGGTCATCATAGTTGTGTGACAATAAGTTTCGGTTCGTACTTTTGGCGGTGCCACGAGATTAGAGAGTTTTTTCTCCTCACGGATCAGATTGTTCGGATATGATGATTGAGTTTATGTTGTTGTGTTAAGCTTTTTTTGTTGATTTGATTTTTTATGGAGGTGAAATCTTTCGTCGGTCCCATGATGAAGATATAGTGATTCAACGACCTACACTTTCAGGGGATCATCGCCAGCCCAAATACGTCAATCGATCAAGGCTTCCCATCTTTTTAGATGGGCGACTCAAGGCGCTTCCAAAAACATTATTGGTGCGGGTGAAAGAGTGACAACATCATTGTTCAAGTCTAATTGCAAACTCTTTACTGAAGCTTTTGGAGTATTTCTTCGAGTAGAGATTGATACCGCGAAGAAGGCATTATCAGAGATTTCATTGTAATTCTTAGTCATATGAATTATTTTCTATTTTCTTGAATCTTAGTTCCAAATAAGTATAGGGAGCGGCGCTGCTACGCGTCGGCCGGCGGATCTTTTTAATAAATCCGCCGCCTTGCGAGTCGTCGGATTTGATGGATTGAGCGACTGAGTGTCACTTTTTATTATTGTAACATAGGTCGTGTTGCGGGAAATTTCCACAACACGGGTCATGTTGCAGAATTTTTTGCAAGATTTTTTTTTGCAACATAGGCCTTGTTTTAGTTTTTTTTTTTTTTTGCAACAGAGGTCTGATTGCAAATTTAACTTTTCCGTAACATAGGCTTTGTTGCAATTTTCGCAACAGAATCATTGCCATGGAAACTCATCGTAGAGGACAGTGAGCAGCGAGCAGCGGTCACGTTGACTGAAAGAAAGAAAAAAAAGGACCACCCGATCAGTACTGAAAGAAAGAAAAAGGATCACACAATGAGATCCGCCGGTAAAAGCGGAGCATTTTCCATAAGTATACTTGTAATTATTATGACTATTAATAAAGTTACAGATGTTTTAGAAAAGCAAAAATGCTAGACACACAGACAAAACCGACATACCTTTACGGATGAGCAGACTTGTCATTTTCTAATTATTAGGCTAAATAACTCTTCTCTCCTAATTAATCCGGCCCCCTGATTTTAACTGGTGGGGTGAGCGCCAAGGCCCGTAAAGCCCCGTAATCCTCCGTTGATGAGCAAAGCCGTTAAAAAAGACTACCCGCTTCCCAAAAAAATAGCCGCATAAGTGTCGGCACTTCCACTTTCCCCTTCACTCGTCTTCTCACAAGCGCCCTAGCCATGCTCAAAGCAAAACAAGCAAAAATCTACATCCCATCCAACTCTTCTGATCTCCGGCCGGCGAACTCTTGCTTCTCGACGTTGCTCGCAGTAGCTGGAGTATCCGTCCTGGCGCGAGCGTGAGGATCCTGGCGGCGTTGTCGTCCCCAAGCGCGCCATCGGGACGGGTCGTCCTTTTCCCCGAGCGAGGCAACCGGATTCGACATCGCATTCTTCCATCTGCAGTTCCTCTTTCTCCCCTTGCTCTAGCTGGCTTTGCAGGGCAGTGGATTGGAGCGACCCATTGGCCATGCTGTAAATTCATCGTGCCTCTTCATCAGGCTATGAGATCTGGATCTCAGAGTTGAATCTGGCCCCTGTTTCCCGTGCAAAGCTGCACATCAGTATCTCGAGGTTAACTTTCCACTTGACCGTGCCGTTTAATTAATTTTGTACCTTCTTGACCGTCAAAAAAAGGTTTCTTGTTGTGTCTTGTAATATCTTACTCCCAGATCTGGTCCTAATGACCTGATGCTTCTCCCACCATTAAAGGGCTAAGCTGCTTCTTCTTAATACGTCTTCTTAATCTACACAAACCGTAGTGCAACTGGTGTTCTTTTCTCAGTCTCCCTGTCCTTCACAACTGCTCTGTTCTTGCCTATGAAAATATACTGCTCTGTTTTCAGGTGTGATTGAGCAACTTCCTTCATTAGTTTCACTGCATTCCTGGTTTATTAGCACGAATCTTGTTTAGCCATTAGCAACTTCCTTCTATACTATAGTATATGCAACATTACGCATTAGTTCACCTGATATTTAGTGTATGCAATAGTACTCTGTATGTCAAGTAACAACCTTTTTTGGGTGCTTGTAGTTGCAAAACCTAGAGCACGAGTGGCAGAGGACAAGTAAGCTGCATGTTGCTCCTGACTTATCTTCCAATGTTTCTTATTTCAATGTTAAAAAAAAAACATATGCTGACTCTTATGCGAAGGTTTCATTTTTTAACCAGGACCAGTACCATGTGGAACAAGGTAGATCTCAAAAGTGACCAGCCATGTAAGCTATCATACCAATTCATAAAACAGGTTACAAATGATTACGACCAGGAGCTAGTAGTTGGCAGTGGTACATTCGGAACAGTGTACAAGGTACGAGTACGAACACACTGTTTGCCTCATATTTATATATTTCATATGAACCTAAAATAGATATCTTTGTATATGTGTGATACTGAATTTTCTCAAAAATTTCATAGTTCTGGCCTAGAAATGGTATAGATGCATCATTAAAAAGTAGTGGTAATAACCAGAAAATAAATAATGGCAACTAAAAGGCGTGTAATTACATGGAGATGTCAGTATTAAAATAAAGAGTAAATTCCGGTTTTTACCCTCTATTTTGATATTTTTGACACTAATTACCCCATTTAGCCATATTTCATCCATTTTACCCAATTTAACAAAAGTTCTGCCACAATTTACCCTGTTTAAAATTTTGCGAGCGTTCTAACCGACATGTCCCAATTGTCAGGTCCACTTGGCTTCCCACATCGACCGTTTTTTCCTGCCTATTTTCTTCCTGCTGGACCGGTCCTCCCAGCTTCTCCTTGATCGGGAACAGGACCAGCCCGATGGAGGTCGCTCGCGTCGCATCCAACGCACAACGCCCGAGTCCGCCGTGGGCCACGCTTGCCTCCAGTCGGTTCTTGCTTGTGTTGCCTGTCCCCTATCGATTGCATCGCCCGTCTAGGTTTCCAACCCACACACATGCTAGGCTCGCTCGAACCTTGGGTTGGGGATTGTCAGGCAGCGGTGATGATGACGGCGGTGGCGGCGATGAGTGCTGAGCGGCCGGCCATGCGATTTCATACCTCCTCGAGCAGGGTTGTATGGCCGCGGCATCCAAGCAAGAAATGACCCCGTGGAATCCGATGGCTCCGTCAAGCTCGCCGACGTTGGCATAGGCGCGTCCATGTACATGATCCCATCAGGCTGTGACCAGTTCATCTTACTACTTTGGCGACATAGCAGGGACCCCATGAGGATGTGCTCAGTTGATGGCGGGGCTATGGCGATGGCTGGTCCAACAAATTAGTGAGGTTGGTGAACAAACAATCCCTCTCAGTCGTACCCCATTCCACAAGATTTTGACCATATCTATCATAGCAATTTGTGTAGTCTGATATTTTCCCCACTCATGCATTATCCGGCGAGGCGTTTCATTAGGACAGAATTAAGATGCTTATTGAAGATCATGTGTATACATGTCACCCTTCTGCAATGTGTAGGAGCTAAGAAAGGTGAAGACTGACAAGGTGTTTGTGCTGCTGCTTGTGTAGCCTGTCATTGCCACTGCCACTGTTTGGTGTATTCTGTAGTATGTGTAGTTGTGAACTAGTGAAGCTATCTATAAATGGGAAGCATTATTCAATCCTGTTTCGAACATGTGAATCCAGAGCAGTCTATAGCCTATATTAATCAGTTTTGACAGTAGTGTGAAGCAGAAATACGATCTGTTTGGCAAAAGAGAGATAATTTGACAGCATGATCCTTGAATAAGGAGACGAATTGACATCATGACCCAGGGAACAAATAGGCAGAAATAGTTGTCATAACACAAATTTTTCGCATTTTATTTCCATGATCTGTTGCAAATAATAGAGAAGGATCTATTTTATAAATAACAGGAGAATACCATCAACTCCAAAAAATAGACAGGGTAAATAGGCACAACGCAATTGGACCTGCCGGTTAGAATGCTCACAAAAAATTAAACAGGGTAAATTATGGCAACATTTCTACTAAATAGGGTAAAATGGATGAAATCCTGCTAAATGGGGTAATTAGTGTCAAAAATGTCAAAATAGGGGGTAAAAACCGGAATTTACTCTAAAATAAAATGATATGTGTAACTTTAAAAAGAGGCAAAGTGACAATAACACTAAATACAGTAGACATCTTGCTAGCATGGAAGAGTACAAGTGGAGCTAGATTGCTGGCAATTAGTGATCTAAACGCTCTTATATTTCTTTACGGATGAAAGTATTTAGCACCACCATTGCTCTTTTGTGCGAGCATGAAATGTATTTGCATACCGTAGTAGGAATTGCTAGCAGTCTAGCTCCACTTGTACTCTTCCATGCTAGCAAGAGATGTCTACTGTTATTATAGTGATCTAATTGCTCTTGTATTTCTTTATGGAGGAGTACTAATGAAAGATGATGCACAGGGTATTTGTGAAAATCGACAAGAAATTGCTGTGATGGTACTTAGGAACATCATAGAGATTGATAATAAGGATTTCCAAAAGGAGTTCCAGAACCTTAGGAGGCTAAAGCATCAAAATGTTGTTCGGCTACTAGGTTTCTGCAATGAAACAGAGAAAGTACTTGTAGCATATAATGGGAACCAAGTTGTTGCTGACAAGATGCATAAGGCGCTTGTCTTCGAGTATGTACGGAATGGTAGCCTTGGCAATCATATTTCTGGTAATTAAGTTGGTGCAAATCCATTTTAAATATCTCCTATATCTAAATAGTTAACCGCCACCTTAATGATTGATAGTCGTCCAACTGAAATCGTATGACATTAGAAGTCATGCATGTACTCTTTGCATTGATCTATCCATGCAAACCACGTCACCTCTTCAATTCATGCATGTCGTTTTCCTGAGGCAATCAAGTCAAGCATGTTTATCACAAGTTCATTCTTCACAATTTTTTTTAAAGATGATTAGCATTAAGTTCAATTCAAAAGTTTGTCGCTTTTTATAAATCATTTTGTCACATACTTTGTAGGTTTTATTGTTTCTAAAATGTTAACCGAGAACACTCTACATTATTTTCTATTAGTTTTAGTTGTTTTTAAGCACACACACACACACATACACACACACATATATATATGTATATATATATATGTGTGTGTGTATGTGTGTGTGTGTGTGTGTGTGTGTGTGTGTGTGTGTGTGTATGAATTTGTTTTAACGCGGTTCTCGCGAAAGCACACGGGGCATATCTAGTTTAGCATGTTACTCATCAAGCTTTATTAGATTACAATTTTTACTAATACTTTTTTGGGGTTTTGATTACAGCTCATGGATGCTCAGGATTTAATTGGCATATACATTACAAAATAATCAAGGGGATCTGCCTGGGTTTAAACTATCTTCAGAATGGATTCGAGCTTTCAATATGGCATTTGGACTTAAAACCTGAGAATATATTGCTAGGTAAAAATATGATTCCGAAAATTGCAGATTTCGGATTATCAAGACTCTTAGGCGATGAAAACACAAGAAAGACAATCAACGCCGTTGGTACACGGTAAGCTATCTCACGTCGAAACGTTTTACCTACTATTAGCTTTGAGACGTTACAAAGCTGAGCAATTTTGGCTGTGCAACGAGCTTCACTATAGCACACCCCTGCAGATTGAATCAGCGATGGAAGATTAAAGCATACCCTTTCAAACGAGAGGGCGTTATGGTAAGCTAAAAATTAATCAACTAATTTGGATCGAGATTGATAGTTCGTAAACTAACACCGGTCAGAGAGGCCTGTGTGGGAGTAGTGACACCCATAGGGGTTGGCGTATGCGGCAAGTTACATTTTATCACATACTTTGGACCGAACAATTTCTGTAGCGGGCCTGGACCGTACGGTCCGGTCCTTAACGGGCCACGAGCGGGCCTAAAAGCTTGCTCGTGTCGTCCAGCCTGACCTAGGAGCATCTTCTGTACTTGTAGCACCCAGGCAGCCGCCAGGCGCTTGAATTTCTAGGCTAATAATTTGCCTGGCTCATCCAACCAGGCTAAACGACATCTAAGCTATTCCAGTCCAGGCCGCTCCATGCTTCTCGAGGAAGGCAACCAAGCAACTTCGAGGAGATCCCAGAGACGCTCTCCCTGTTACAAAGTTATGACCTCATGCTCCAATGTTAGGTAATTGACAAATGGAGGAAAAGACTACGTGCAACATTGACCGATAGGCCACTCGAAGTATATTGCGAACAGGTCAGGATATGCATCCAGATAGCAGTAAAATGCACGAATTATGAGCGAGAGGAAAGACCCACTATACAGTCCATTGTCTCTGATCTGATAGAGACGGAAACAATGATAGGCAGCCTAGGGCTGGAGACAGAACAGGTGAGATCCCTTCTATCATAATTGGCATTTCCTTCTTTATCAGAAAGTATCTTATTCTTTTGCTTTGCTGGGAAGAAATTATCTTATTCGTAGTACAATATCCTGGGACTTCTCCACCGGCGACTTCAGTGCTCACTAAGGATAACAATATTTAGAGTGTCCATAATAAAGTTGTTGTCGAAACATGTAGATAGATAGGGACTCGCCATTTCCTACTTTATAGCAACTTACAGAAAAGAAACTAACAGAAATGTAAGTGAGATGTCACAAATGTGAGTATAGCTACACTACTACAGGATTGATCTCTTGTAACACGTTGATGTGCTACTACAGCTTAGATATTGTGTTACTAAAGCACACAGTAACACACTTTTGTATGTGTTCGTGTAGGCTATGTTACTAGGCGATGTCTATTGTAGCACATAAGAGTTGTTCCTATATGTATATAAAGGTGTTACTATTGAATGGTTGCAACACAAGCCATATGTGTTACCGAAGGCCTGGTAACACTCTTTTAGAACTATAGGCACACACTTTGTAACATGTTTTTCCTTGCGTAGCAACATGGCTAGTAACATGGTTTAACAAAATTGCAACACAAGTAGCAATGCAATAGTAACACAATTTTTGTATATATTGTAACATCTCTAGTGGTGATTGGTAGCCAACCTAGTAACACCTTTCCTAACTATAGTAACACGACATAATTTGTCCAATGTGCTATGCAACCATTTTTTATGAAATATTGTAGCAATACATTTTTTTATACTTCCCCAGTGAAAAGCGATAAGCATATGGCACACAGTGTATACTATATAAAAAGACCATGGACATAAAGCTTGCGTATATGCACGAGGGTATAAAATATCAATATGGTCCATGCCATTCCATAGCATTTGTAACAATAAACATATAGAAGATCCATATTTTAGGGAAAAAAATACATTTCTCAACCCACAAATGTAAACTATAGTATGCGAAAGATTTCCTATCATTGAACCCATGTGACACCCCTTTTCATGGTCACTAGAATGTGCCCCTCGGATCTTTCTTGCATCAATATGTCATATTTGCATCTCAATTCCTCATAAGCAAAAGCATCTGAATCAACTCAACCACTGAACCTCTCAATCTGCAAGAAAAAAATCAATTACGACTACATTAAGTATTCGTGAAGTTAATTTAACAAAACCCAAGAAGTTAAATATTGACTTATACATGATGAAGGCCATGCAATTGTTAATCCAGAGGTGAAAGCATCGCCAATTGTCCTACAATTTTCCCTTTCCCTTACCAAGACCTCACATTCCTCAATAGGTGATCAACTTGCACTTCTATGAACTGCCGACCTAGCTCAACACCACCAACCATTTTTTTTAATTGCAACCCAAAATGCTAGCATGTGCTACATGCCTTTTGTTTGGATATACTGAAGACTTCAGAATCACTTTTGTGCCAACCTGAAATGAGGTTCAAATTATAATATATAGTAATAAAAACCAATTTTGTGAACACGAATCTAGTATTAACACACTATTTTTGTTACCTGCATGGAAGGACTACGTTTCTGCTTAGAGGGCACATGGACTACAGACTTGTCTTGAGTGCTTTGTTTGTGTACTCTAGGCAAATTTCCATCCATATTCTCCCTGCTCTTTCTCGTCTACAGATAAATATAAGCAGAAAAATGATTTATCCTTGTGATTTTGCAATGCAAAGTTCACACCACATTTTATTCATCAAATATTACATGTGGCAATATCATTTTATAACCTCAGGAGAGTCCATTCCATGCAAATCAAACTTAAAATGCAGAAACTCATTCATTCAACATTATACAAACAAGTATGAGTCAGTAGTATGAATATTGGATTGCACTTGAATGACAAATCGCTAGTACAACCTGATATTTTAACTAAATGTGCGTGAATAACAAATCACGCCATCAATAATTCATATGGAAAATGTTTTCGGTTACTTCCTAGGAAGCAGATTTCTCAAGAGATAACCATTACCTCTCCATCAAAAACAGGATCGAAAACAGGATGGGCTGGTGATGATGGTGCTTGATATGACAATTTATTGCAGCCCTCATTTTCAAGATGATGCTTCTATACAACAATGTAAAGAGATTAATAAGTTGTAGTGTATCCTTTAGAGCATGAGTAACAACAAGATTCTAACATGTTTGATTATCTTCGTGCGTGCCATGTCGATGTGGTTATTCTGCATTTTACATGAATAGGCATTCGTTATTAGACACTTACAGAGTGTAGTGATAAATAAACAAATTTACCATTGTTGTATCTCTGGGTTTGATCACTACGTATTCTGCATCGGGTCCATTGGCATGAACTCTCAGCAAAATGAAATATTTATAAAGAGAGCTGAAAATGAACTAGCACATGTCGAATATATTGACAATACCTATCTTTTATTATTATGTAGTACTTCTGGATGAGATTCGCCACTACCTACGGTTTGGAAATTTTCCTACAACAGAAATTAAACAAGTTTCAGTAAAATAATTACATGAATGCAACATACTAACTTCCTAAATCAAGGGTATAAACCGAATACTGACTGTACAAGATGTATTATGAATTTGAGGGTACATAAATTTTAAAAATCAGTACTAATCAGAGTTCAGAGTACAAGATCTTTGGCCCCAATCTAAGTACTGCATATATCAGTAATAATCAGAGTTCAGAGTACAAGATCTTTGGCCCCAATCTAAGTACTGCATATATCAGTAATAATCAGCGTTCAGACTACAAGATTTTTGGTCCCAATTTTTGTCTAACTACTGCTCTGAGTACTACTCTGAGTACTATGCATTTCAGAGTACTATACAAGATATACTATGACAGTACTGTACAAGATATACTATGAATTTCGGAGTACAAGATCTGGGGGCCCCAGTTTTGTATAACTACTGCATATATCAGTACTAATCAGGGTATTATAGCCTCCAAAATCAGGGGTTAAAGACTGAAACCTTAAACTGCAAAGAGGGGGGAAAGCAGCCAACATCTCATCTATATTCAGAGAACATGGTACTACTTCTGAAGTGCACAAAAACCAGACTATAAGCCGTATGTTAGTTTAACACAGTGACTAATGATTACAGCCCATCCTCCATTCTTATCCTAAATTAACCACTGGTTGATTTACTGCCTGGTACGCACAATCCTAATACCAGATTCAGGGAGGAAAACAAAGGGAGGAGGAAAGAGAATTAGTCACGCATAGAAGGGAGAAAGCAACGAACTGGGAGTTTAGATCGATACCAGCCGGGAGAATGGTGTAGCCCTTCGGGATTTAGTTCCGGAGTTGAGGGTCGACGATGTTGTTGCCGCAACGATGCAAACCACACTGAGGCAGATCTGGGCAGCGATGGTTTCAATCGGGCGTTGACGGACGGGCAGGCGCGTGGGTGGCTGCTGACAGGTGGCGTTGGATGAGGATGTAGCGGGGTTGGAGGGGCGGCGACGGAGGCCGCCGAGGTGAGGCTTCGAGGGCGGCGCGAATGATGCAGATGGGATTAGCGATCTAATTTATTTAGCGCTTCATTAGTTAACCGGGTGGAAAATTAAGCGGGACTAAATAAGGAGTTCTGGAGGGAACTTATTGTCCATCGAGAAGTGGAGGAGGGAAATCGAGATCTGGAGGAATTTTTTGCGGGAATAATCTAGAGATTGTTTGATGAAATATTTTGTTTGGAGAAAAAATATATTAGATCTATAAATAATTCGAGAAATGTTAAAAATGAAAAACAATGGAGCATATTTTGTATTTATTTCATTACTGAGAAGGAAATAATATATAGTTATAAATAGTAATTTCTTTATGAAATGAATATAACAATATAATTTTGTGAATTTGTATAGCAAACATTGTAAAAAAAACAATTACTTACCTTCATTCATACTGCCACCTCCAAGTCCGGTGACTCCGAGATGATGGACTGGTGGTGCGCCTCGATTGACGCGTAATGACATGGATGTTGCGTGCCCATGCCGCCTGTGGAGTTCGACGACCTGGCCGGGAAAAAGAGATTCATGTACGTGTGAGGAATTGATTGATGATCTGTCATTAACCGTAGAGAGAGGTTGATTGAGTGGGGAAGCCCCTGCGCCTGCTGCAATATGAGAAGACATGTGAAGTACAGGTGCTCCCAAGGGACTCCGACAGTGAGAGAGCAAGGAACTTCCCAACCGATGATTGCTTTATATTTACCATGTTGTGTTTGTGATTTAATTGATGGAATAGAAATAAGGCACTGAGACGCTTATAAGCACTGAAGCGAGACGAAGGTGCGCCGCTGTCATCGCCCCTCCCTCGCCG